AAAATACTACAAACAAACTAAAATTGTACAACTTAATCCCTATTTGTAATAAATACAACATTTGGTTCCAGTTTATTCACGTTATTCATGTCCAATGTATAAACATATTACAATACATATAATACATTGCAAAGACTTATTTCATGTGGTGACGCTGTGGCAACAACAACGTAATGAATTCAGGAGATACTGCTTCTGATGTGCATAGATCTCATAAAGCAGCAACATCTCAGCTGTGACAGCCACTTCTCCAACCACAGGCACTGTAGTCGGTGCAGAGTGTTAGAATTGATCATTTGTCAGAAGTGTCAAGCAGTCCTGCCAGTAAAACAGATTTTTTGGTCCATATTTCTTTACATCCTGACTGACAGGTTCAGGAAAGTAAAACGTTCTGTCTGTTAGGCCCTAAAAGTATACTTATCGTATCCTGTGCTCCTGCAAACCAGCAGGTGGGGCTGTTTCAGTCATTTCCCCCTTCTCAAGTTGGCTTCATCTACAGTATATCAAAGAGAAAAGGAGTTAGGAGTGTGTGTTCACATATGGCTTAGCTCTCTGCTACACACAGGAGGGACATTAGCTGCACTGTATCAGGTGTATTAACAGTATCTTACTAGCGTAGTCCTCTGGGGTCATGGGTTGAGAGATGACCTTTCTGAAGGCCTCCAGCCACTCCCTCTGCTCCTGCTCCTGCTCACACATAAACACAAACTGCCTGCCTGGAGTCTGCAGCGTGATGCCATAGTGCCACCGGCCTACCCTCGTGCCCCGGCCGCTGCTCTCTACTCCGTAGCTGTGGCTCTCTGTGCCGATGAAGACGGCGCCCAGCTCTGTGGCATCCTAACAGTGGAAACAAGCAGCACAGGGGTACAATTTGTTTTAATGCATTTTATTTCTTATAAATGAGTGTTAGAATTATCACGTAATATCAGAGTAACTTTGTTTTTCTTATTTATTTGTATTTTATTTAACAAGGCAAGTCATTAAGAACCAATTCTTTACGTCTTGGTATTAAATAAAATGATTACATTATTATTATTCCACCCACTGTAACTGTAGATACTGTGACATTATCTGTTAATTACCAGTGGAGTTTTAAAATATAGAAGCTTTCTGTTTTCTGAGCACAGTATGAACCACCTCTTCTTGAATGGCTCCCGTTGCTGAAAACACACACAAAAAAGAGAAAAAGAGAACGAAAGGACAAATTAACTTGTAAGATATTACAAAAGTGAATGAATCCAATAGATTTTTGTAATAGATTCAGATATGTGACCGACCGTTGGACCAGTTTTCTCCATGTACCCCTCCTTCAGGCAGTGTGCTGCTATCAGAGGTATTAACTGTGCAAAGAAACACGGGTAACACTGTTAACTGGACAAAAGTTGCTGTTTAATTAACACTTAAACAATCTATCTGAGCTCAATCTTTAAGACATTTTTCTCACGTCATTATCTCGAAGGGTGGGATGTTTCTTCTGGAGGTATGCCAGCCGTGTTGCCCGAATAGCATTGAACAAGGTTACAATTATCTATAAGGCATCAGATATAAGAGAGCATATTAAGAATTCATCCAGAGTGCATCCATGCAAGTGTCATACATTTTAGTTAAGTCACTGAACCCTGGGTAGTAATATAATATATGAGGTAGGTTTTAGAAGGTCTGCTGAACTTGGATCACATTGTTTTTCTCAGATCTAACCACTAATGTGACATTCAAAGGTAAATTGAATTGTATTAATTAAAATCTTGTATTACTCTTTCCTACCTTCCATAGCGCTTTTGTATTGTTATTGTCTATTTATTTGTATTGTGAATGTGTAGCTTGTGTTAATTTTCTTTCGAAGAAAATTGCATTGCACACAGTCATGCTTTTAAAGCCACTTGAGTTGAACTGACTCTACATATGCACTGATTTGGTGTCCGTGCTGCAGGGTTTGTATGCTGCATTTGACAAGTCAAAACATTTATCTGTCAAAAGTGAAAATAAAATAGCTCACCTGTCCATCCTCATGATAAACAAACAGATTCCTCATACGCTCGTCGTGCAGATAGGAGATCTGCAGACCGTGAGCATGATTGATCTTCTCTGGCTGGAAAACTGCATTCAGATCCTTCATGGAGATGACAGCTTTGGGAACCTTGGACTTTTAATGGGAGGGTTGAGGAAGGATTTCAGAAGATTAGAAAGTAGTATGCTCATAAAACAGTGTCAACTAAATGATGATATGGCAAAATAACTACTCACATCCTCTTTAATGAAGTATCTGAGGGTGAAGTCTTTCCGGGAGAGAAGGAAGATCCGCTTAAGAAACTGCTTGTTGTCTTTGCCCTTCTTCCACAGTGTTGACTCAAACAGGTCTGTGGTTGATATGTCAAATAAAAAGAAAATAAGAGATGAGACGAGCAACTGAACTGTACCTTATGCACAGAAGCAAACTTAAAATTATGATAATTTTTAAGGTAGTATAATCACAGGATAATCACCTGAGCTATAAGTGTGCTGAGAGTAGTTGTTTTCTCCTGTGAATTCTCTTCTTTCATACTTTGCACGGATCCATTGATCCTTAAGGACACTGAAAGCAAAGAAAAACACTCATTACCATTTCCTTATGGATGAAACACAAGTGTTTAAGTAAACACCAGCCACTCAAACGGTGTAGGCCTGTCAGTGATGAATGAGTCTAATTCATGCTGTCTGTAGCTCCACCTCTGTTCCCAAATCCTAGTGTTAGTTCCTCTTTCTGTACCTCTCCACTCGCATTCACTAAATAGACCATTTGTTGATTCTTCACTTTTCACTTCCACTGTGCTAATGAGGTGAGTGGATGGCGACTGTGTCGAGGGTCACTCACATGCAATCTTTTTGTTGCGGCCGGTAGTAGAAGGCAGGGACACACTTCTCGTAAACGGCTTTGGCATAAGAATTTCCCCTCTCCCTCATGAACTGAAAGCACAGGGTGGGCACAAGTTATAACACAACAATTCAGATTCAGTCAATCTGTCCCAGTATTAACTAGACTGTACAAATCATCAGTGTATAAAAATGTACATTGAATAAATAATAAATACATGTTATTAGCTATCCATAGACAAAGGAAGAAAACTACAAGCCTATACCTCTACTAGTGAATCTTCCCAGCGATCCAGACGTATGGACTTCACTTTGCTGACAGCTGGCAAATTACGATGCATTCCTGAGCAATTCAGGCACACAAAGATACCGAGAGTGTAGGAGGCCCAGTCAGGCTCTGTGAGAAAAAAATCATATCACAAAGTTTACACTATAAGAAGGAACTAAATACAGTACAAACTCTAGCTGTGTGAGCAGTAAAACTACAGACCACAATACAATACAGTAAGTGACAATATCAGTGTATTTTGTAGACAAATGTGCACTAAAAGTGAGTGAATGAACTGAACGGTGAATTTAAGGTAGGTATTTAATTTCCTGTTTGTTTTTTGCTCTCACACAAACACTATTAACCGTCCTTGTCAGTAAGGGCGACAGACTGTTATAGGAGGAACACTGAGGTCATACCACATAATACACAGCAGCCACCACTTCCCCTTATGAAGTTCATTATAAAATGTTACTCGGCTATAAAATATGACTTTCGAGGTTGTTCTGTTAACAAATATCACGTTGGTGCAGGTTGCACAGGTTTTCCATTCTGTAAACTTCATTAAAGAAAACCTCTTCATTAACACAGAAATCAAGTAGAAACAACAATACGTGTTGAGCAAACACGTACTGTTGGAAACCAGTCAAACAATGTTGATGTCATATCAAAATACATACATTGTGGTCATGAATCTTTGTCATTGTACTCACCAGGAGCTCCACAGTCGGCACACAAGTTGTTACCTGGCTGTCGCGCCAAATCAAGCAGTATTTTGTTATTTCTTTCCAGACTGGCCATAGATGAAGATAGTTGCTCCTGTCAGACTGACAGTTGAGTCCCATCAATAGAGCCACTAGGTATTAACTCCATATTGATTCTACCCATTGCATGGTACGGAGCTATTCTGCTCTGTAGCAGGTGAAAAACACAATTCCTTCTCATTGGCCAGTGGCCCAGCATTTCCTCTTACCAGCACAGCATCATGAAGTTTATTGTTCTGCACACAAATGCAGAGGTCCAGAAATAGGAGGGAAAGGAAGTGAAACAGACGTCATGGTGAAAGAGGGTGATGGACCTAGAGTATTAGGCTAATAGACTTGTGTGCAGCTCATAGAGAGCTGTGACTGCTGTGGGTAAAAGATTTTCATGTTAGGAGGAGATGCTGTAAATATGTGAAACGAAGTTTTGTTAATTTAAGCATATTTTACAATTATTTAAAATGCAGGGTAGGCATAATAAAACCATATCTTTATTATAGCGCATTAAACACTTAATTTAAGTATTTGCACTTGTTGAGGCAGGACATATTACACCTTTACTGCTTAAAAGAACTGCATTCAAATCCTTTAAGGAGATGACAGCTTTGGGAATCTTGGAAATGGTTTTAATTGGAGGATTGAGGAAGGATTTAAGAAGATTAGAAGCAAAAATGTACTTGACTGCAACCCTTGTATGCTCATAAAACAGTGTAAACTAAATGATGATATGGCAAAAGAACTACTCACATCCTCTTTAATCAAGTGTCTGAGGGTGTCTTTCCGGGAGAGAAGGAAGATCCGCTTAAGAAACTGCATGTTGTCTTTGCCCTTCTTCCACAGTGTTGACAGGTCTGTGGTTGATACGTCAAATAAAAAGAATAAAAAAAATATATATATAAAGTATTATATATATAATACTGAGAGGAGTTTCTTATATTCAGTCTGTCCTCACTAATATAAACGGGGTGTGTAAACATAAGAAAACAATGCATTAATGCAGTAAATCAGCACCCTATGTGTTCGTGCAGTGACTCCACACACACAGCAGGTGGCGGTGTACACCTTCAATGTCGGCTCGCCACTAAACATCAAGAAGAAGAGGGACTCCGGAACCAATCCAAAGCGGTGTTGTGTTGCCACGGCCGGTTGAAAACGGTCGGACAACAACCAAAGGACAAGTTGTCCCACCTGCGCGATGTTGTTGCTAAAAACGAGCGATTCTTTATTTAAATTCCCGACGATGTGGTTCGCCAGGAGATTTCTGTCGTCGGTCGTTCAAAGAAGTAAGCCCCGCAGTGAACCGGCTTGTTTTGTAGTCGCAGATAAATCCGCCGACTATATATATATATATTACGTTTATTATCACATATTGTGGAGTTGTAAAAAAATAAATAAATCCCATCGTGTTTTTCCTCTGCAGGTCAGTATACAGGACAGTCCGGGCTGTTCCGCCGCCCTCAGCACTGCCCCCCCTCTGAGCTGGAGCTGCGGTACCTCCAGTGCACATGTTGCTGGCGGAGCCGGGTTCCCGTGGCGGGCTTCGAGACCCTGGAGGCCTCCTTCATCTCCCCCCCTGCGCCCTGCAAAGAGGAGAGCGGTCCGCTGGATGCGTGCTACACCGCCGAGCAGCGACACTTAATCCTCCAGCTGCTCAACACCGGCACACAGTCGGAGCTGGCCGACGTGAAGCTGCTGAGAGGACGCAGGTCGCGCAACATTGTGGAGTACAGGGACAAAAATGGCCCCTTTGAGACTCTAGAAAGTGTGGTGAACGTACCGCGGCTGAAGCACAAAAGTGCCGTCACGGCCTTCAACTTCATTCTCAACCCGGTTAAGAGGGAGAAGAAAAGTAAAGTTAAGTTGAAGATGGCCAGGTTTATCAAGCCAGAGATTGATAAGTCCTGGTTGAAGGTGAGGTTCTGATCATTACGTGACATTTTCACACACCTGCCCTTGTCTTTATATGAGAGAGAGAGATGGTGCGGCTGAGCAGACTGTCTTTGGGGACTTGGGTTCGTGTCTCTGTGTTGGTAAACATCAACCCTGCTTGAGGATTAAGGGGAATGCTGGACCAGCTCCACATTGCTGCTACATTTAGGTTATATAAAGCTCAGACTGGGGGTTTTAGTTTGGCACCAGATGCTCAATGTGGTACTCACAATGTATTAACATGCTTCTATAAAGTTGTGGGATTTGTGACATACTGATGAAGAAACAAAAGGAAATGCTGCATCCTAAATATCCCATGTGACCTGTGACTTCCCTGTAATAGATCTAGTGTTTGTTAATCTCATTTCAGTGTGATAATTCTGTATTATTTTTATTTTACTCAGGATGCCAGTTCCATTGTGTCACTAATATGTGGGATTAATAAAATTGCCTGGACTCATGTCGACCGTAGCATGACACTTCTGGCTTGGGAACAGAAGGAATGTCCAAATTTCTTGAAGGGAACATACATGGCCACTACTTACTTGCAAGATGTGAGTATGACTACCAGAGTCTGTTATTATTATTCAGGTTTTACACAGCGATTGGTTGGATGCAGATAAAGTGTGTATATAAAGCCATTGTCCTTGTGTTGTAACTCTACCCACATACAGCTCTACGGTTTTCAATTTTGTCCTTTCTGCTAGGTGTCTGAAGTTGTGGCTCTCCTCCCATCCGCTGATTTCTACATAATAGAGAAATTGTCCCTCTCACACCAGAATAAGTCACTGTTCCCTATCATGGCCCACATGAGGGCTGTGGAGGCCATGCTGTTCGCTCTGCTTGAGCCACGAAACGCCGAGATGTCCAACACACCTCCCAGGTGGGGAGAAAACAGTTCATATTAATGACTATGAAAGGCACCAAAATACTGTACAAACATTCATTTTGATTTTATTTTTTATTGTGGCAACTGTCAGTTGAAGTTGGTGAAAGTTCCTGAAATGACTTCTCACAAGATTTCCCTCCTTTTCAGAGTCTTGAATATGATGCGTACTGCTGTGGGACAGCACTTTGGACTCATGGTGGGCGATTCGCGGGTCAGTGGGGCAGGTGTGGTCCAACGGTTGATGACTGAGTCGGTGACACAGAAGTGTCCCAGGATAAACCTCCCCCAAGAACTGCTGCTGAAGTACAGGAATTCTTTCCAAATGGGGAGCAGGAATGGAGGGGAGGAACTCTGCGGCGCCCTGCTTCAGGCCGTGGCTTTTTACGAATTGCTTCGTGAATGTTCCGAATAGCCACCACACGCAGCGATTTCAGGCCCCGAACCATGCTCTACATCCACTAAAACAAATCTCCCATATCAGTACCCAGACAAGTGTTTCACAAACATAATTTACAAAAATATATTTTTTTATTTACATTTTACGGTTGCACATAAATAAAAACGGACTTCTCATCTCAGCTGCATCAAATTCATTTGACAGTATTTCGAGAGAATATTCAGATAAATGCACAGTCAAATAAATACTGACTGCACTAAAGTGAGGTAGTGAGAATGTGAGGTTCTAGTCCTCTGCCAGGAGTTGAATGGTCGACTTTGAGAGGCCCAGGTGTGTGCTGCTGAGGTAGTTCAGACACCTAATGTGGGTGATAAATCGTTAAAATTTAGTTTGCAGATATTATAGGATTATTTTGATGTACAAAATTACAAATAGTCAAAATGAGGTTGAATACTTTGAACTAACATTTCGTTAGACTAGACTGATATTATTTGGGTCAGATGTAACAAAAACTAATGGTAATTCAGTGAGGAAGCTGTGTGGTTTAGGATACAACTCAAATCATCTGCCTTTTGCTGTCACACACCAGGTTTATTATGATGGAGTTAAACTGAGTTTAATTTATTAAAAAACAATGCTGTCATCCAAAATGATTCACTATTCTAAGTGACAACAGTCTGCCTCTTGAAGTGAAAGCGAGTGGGTCGGGCTCACCTGACGGGCTCCTCTTTCTGCCTCTGTTCTCTCTGGAAGCGGCAGATGTAGCGGAGGACCGGCACGTAGTCGACACTGACAGCTTCTCTGTTCCCCAGCAGGCTGAAGGATTTACTGCCAAGCACCGACCTGCTCAGCTCGTACCTCCTTTGAGACACACTGGAGGGGACGGGCGAGAGTATGACATGGTGAAAACATGACTCTTGTTTTCTGCTTTATGATGTGTATAATGACACTGGCCTTGAGTGTCAGTTTCCACATGACAGAAAAGTGAGATAAGCAATAAGGTTTTTTGGTAAATGAATGCATGGATGGAAAATAGTTTCTTTTTTTTATACTTCTATTTTATCAAAATGATAACATTTCTCGTTTCTTAAACGCCTGTCTCGTAAACTGTGAACATGCTTTTAGTTATTGTTCTTAAATGAATACGCTTACATTTCAGGCTGATATCCGATATCCTACATGGTTTGAATGCAGCTATTGTAAGTCTAGCGACTGCCAAATGAATGTAATGTAATAGTGCTTTATTTGAATTTCATAATAGCGTTAAAAAGAACAGTATGACCAGTATGACCCAAATGACTAAAGAAGACTGGAATGTAATGGGGCACAAAACCCATGTGAGTCAGTCACTGAAGTGCCAGACAAACAATTTGAATCAGTATTCAGAGGTTGAAATGTGGAATAAGCTTACCTTGGTGCACACAGAGGTTGAACACTGAAGCTGAGGCTCTGTCTTTTGGAAGAGACAAGAGACTGGGAGGCCCACCATGTGTCTCCCAGTTCCTGTCTGTATTTTTGGGCTTCAGTACACGCCTCAGACATTTGCCACAGGCACCTGTGACACCCCAAGCCCTCAACAGCAGCCTGAATATCCAACAGCTTCTCCTGGCTCCAACTCCTGCGCTCCTCCTCCTCCTCCACCACCTCACTCATCTCATCCAACAAGCCATCCTTTATCACAGCTCCTGTCCAGCAAAACGCCTCAGGTCTGCATAAGCCGGAAACAAGTGGTTCTGCTGCCGGCATCGTGGCATCGAGGTACGACATGAGGTCAAAGAAGTTGGTCAAGGCATCCAAACAGTCGAGTGCCACTTCAGTCGCGTCTCTTGAACTAGGGGCTCTTGAACGACTCCTCTTTGCTGATAATGATGTTTTTTGAGGATTTTGTGCCAAACTGGAGGATGACGTGGTGTCAAACATTGTGGGGATGTATTTCCTTCGGCTAAGCCTGGAGATATTTCTTACAGATTTGCGGTCGGTGGCTGAAGCCCCTGGAGTGACATTTCCATCGAGCAGCTGGATGTGAGGATCACTGTAAGGGAGTGCCAGCTCACTCTGCAGCCCAGAACAAGTCCCCTTCTCCAGGAACTGAGCTGAAGTTCCTTTGGCCCAGATGGGTAGAAGGAGCTCCAGGTTGGCGTACAGAAGAGGCACACCTCCTCTCCAGCTCTCAGCTAGCAGCCTCAGGAGCTCAGTCATGTCCATTTCAGACCAGAATGGACACTGAAGAATTTAAGAAACAGAAAATAGACAGATTTTGTTTTTCTTTGGAAAAAAGCATCTGAGGTTCATATACACAGGGTGAAGCAGAGGTGGGAGTAAGTCACACATGTGCAAGTCTCAAGTCTTAACCTTCAAGTCTCAAGCAAGTCCCAAGTCATTTTTGTGAGAGTCGAGTCAAGTCAAGTCATAGCTTAGGTCAAGCAAGTCACAAGTCAAGTCATAGAAATATAATAAGCTGTGTCCTTCCAAAGTGCTGGCTCTTACATTTGTAACAAATATTTCGCTGCGTATATCCAATCACTGACATTCCGATGTGCTACTCACGACTTTAATATCCTAACACATGAAATTATTATTGAAATCTCGGCCTGTTGGGCAGAAACCTCTTATTTTGGCTATTGAACTTTTGATTCTACTGTCACCTTTCAAGTGTTTAAGAAGTAGTGTTAGTAGCGTAATTCCCTTGGGGAACAAGCTGTGCGTAAAATGTGTGTATGTGCGTAAGGTGTGAGTGGACGATCGAGAGTGAGCGAGAGAGTGTGCGCGCGCGGATGCAGGAGCTGCAGGTTAGAAAAGTCTCTGAAACCAAATTGTATAATTTTGGGAACAGCTGCTGTGCCAGCAGTTCCACCTTCCAGTGCTCCACTCCGGCCTCTCTACAACCGCTGCAGTCAGTTGGTTAGATTACAGGTTGCCAGGTTCGCCCACATGCAACAGGAAACATCCGATCGAAAAAAATATATATTTTTGATAATTCACATATTAATAAAGACAGCAATGACTTGTCGAGTCATTTCATGCAAGTCTAAGTCAAGTCTCAAGTCATGACTAGCAAGTCAAAGTCAAGTCTTTTATCAACTGTTCATCAAGCAAGTCACAAGTCCCTTCAATCTGGCGCTTAAGTCTGACTCCGAGTCAAGTCACTCGACTCGAGTCCCCCATCTCTGGTACATTTTGTGGTTGTTTACTTAATCTTAGTGCACCCTTTAGCATTCAATGCATGAAGACCCTTTAGGGTGCAGAATGATCACAGTTAGCCAATAATGGGACCTCTGTGATCCATTACATTTGTGTATGGTGTAAAATATTGAGTCAAGAAGCCTGACCTGTTCTGGCTGCAGAGTGACGACGTGGGCCCTGGCTCCCTGAAATGCAGGGAACCTCCTCAGGTCTGGATGGAGAACATCCACCTGGCTGAAGACACTGGACTCCTCATATGGGATCCGGGTTGGGTAAAGGTTAATGGTGTCCTCTGGAGGAAAGAGGTGCCAGCGCTTCCTACACACAGGAAACGTCACATTTAGATACAAGTTCAGGCTAAAAGAGCGAGATTAGGGATTGTTGTTAGAAAGGAATTCAGTTGTTAATGTTGTAGTTAGCCATATATCCACCTATGATGGACCCAAAGTAGGAAAAATTGAGAAACAAGAGAAAAGTAGATAGTTTCATTATGTATTACTCCAATGAATTAAAGCCATATAACAATGGTTTATAATATTCTCCTCTCACTAGTCACCAGGTGGCTACTACAGTGGATGACGAATAAAAACTGATTGAACAAATGGTTTTTGTTTTTCTTGGTGTGATGTTTTGTAAACAGTTCTTTTTTATCAGAGGAATCAAAATGCTTTCTTATTCTGGTAGATGACAAACTGACAAGGCCGATCGTAAATCCACCACCACATGACCCACCATTATCACAAATGTCATGATATCAATCAGCACTGTTGTATTTTCATGGATCAGCAGTGTCAGAGAACAGCTTGAGCTGAAATTCATTCCATTTGAGATCAATACCAAATAAAAGAGCCTGAGACCCAATTACAAGGAGGGAGATAAAATGGTTGCTCTGTGGGAGAACAGAGGAGGGAGATAAGATACAAAAAGACCTTT